ACTAATAATATATAAATAATAGCAATTTGACAGTTAATAGCAATAATAATAATAACAACAATAATAAGAATAATAATAATAGTAATAATAATAATAATAATAATAATAATAATAATAATAATAATAATAAAGACAATTAATAATAGCAATAATCAATAATTATTTCCAAATAATCTACAATAAAACGGGGTATTACAATCTCCTTCCGCAACGCCTCGACTTTTGGCACTACAATTCTGCCACGGAACTCTAAGGCACCATCGATACCTCGCTGAAAACCCTTGACGCCTCTGGCGCGGACTTTGGCATCCATGACACGAACGAACTCGTCTCTCAGCGTCCGCTGAATCTGCATGGAACTGACACTCCCCAAAATGGCTGTGGAAAGTGCATCAACTACCTGAATCTGCATCCAGGCGAATTCCTGAATCAAACGGTTCTGCTGAGTAACGACGTACGTCAAGTCACCCCTCACCTTACGGCTTAGGGCATCAGCAACGACGTTCGCCTTTCCCGGACGATACTGAATCGAGCAATCGTAATCCTTGACGAGCTCTAGCCAACGGCGCTGTCTCATGTTGAGCTCCTTCTGAGTGAAAATATACTGCAAGCTCTTATGATCTGTGAAAATCTCGCATCGACCGCCGTATAGATAATGTCGCCAAATCTTGAGAGCATGAAGAACTGCAGCTAACTCCAAATCGTGCATCGGATAGTTCTGTTCGTGTGGCTTGAGCTGACGTGAAGCATAAGCAACGACCTGGCCATCCTGCATGAGTACGCATCCCAAACCCTGTCTCGAAGCATCACTAAAAATCTTGAAACTCCGTGAAGGATCGGTAATAGTCAACACCGGTGCTGAAGTTAACCTCTTCTTGAGCTCCTGAAAGCTCGACTCACATCGATCAGTCCACTCGATCTTCACAGACTTCCTCGTTAGCTGGGATAAAGGGAGGGCAATCTTGGAAAAACCCTCAATAAATCTGCGGTAATAGACAGCTAAATGGAGAAAACTGCGAACCTCGGACGGACTCTTTGGTGTCGACCAGTTCTGAACAGCTGAGACCTTGGAAGGATCTACCTCGATACCTGCCTGAGTAATGACATGGCTAAGAAAGGCTACTCGCTGGAGCCAGAATTCGCATTTGGAAAATTTTGCATATAACTTTTCTCGTCTGAGGGTTTCGAGAACAACCCTCAGATGCTCCTCGTGCTCTTTCTGGCTCTTGGAGTAGATAAGAATATCGTCAATGAAAACAATAACGAAATGATCGAGGTAGGGATGGAAAATACGGTTCATTAGGTTCATGAAAACTGCTGGAGCATTACTGAGGCCAAATGGCATGACGACAAACTCATAATGGCCGTAACGAGTACCGAAAGCGGTCTTAGCAATATCTGACTCCTTGATCTTCAGCTGGTGGTAGCCTGATCGCAAATCAATCTTGGAGAAAACACAGGCTCCCCTCAGCTGATAAAATAAATCGTCGATCCTGTGAAGCGGATACTTATTCTTGATCGTCAACCGGTTAAGGTCGCGGTAGTCGATACACATGCACATAGAACCGTCATTCTTCTTAACAAAGAGAACGGGTGCTCCCCAAGGTGACACGCTCGACCGGATGAAACCGAGTCGCAATAACTCCTGAATTTGCGCCTTAAGCTCCTGCAACTCTTTCGGCGCCATATGATACGGGGCTTTGGATACTGGGCCGGCTCCTGGAATGAGATCGATAGAGAACTCTACCTGCCGGTTACGCGGTCCTCCTGGAAGTTCATCTGGAAACACGTCCACAAACTCACGAACGACTGGAACGTCGTGAGGTGTTTGTGTTTTCTAAGAGTCATCGACAAAGCTCACAAGATAACCCTGATAGTTGCCTCGTCGTAGCATCTTGGTGGCTTTCGCCATGGAAATGACATGAGGTAAGGAACGATTCTTGGTGCCAAAGAAGGTAATCAAATCATCTCCCGGAAGATAAAGAGTAATCTCCCGGTCATGGCATCGAATGTCTGCATGATAATAGGATAGCCAATCTATACCTAGAATGAGATCAAAATCCCTCATCTCGAGAACATACGCGTCGGTAGACAATATACGATCACCGATGGAAAGGCTGAGATCTGAAGCTTTAGCAGTAGTCACTTTCTTTCGTCCCGAGGCTAAACTCACCTCGAGAGGATCGACAGCGGTTGTAACACCCCGCTCATCAGAGTAAATTTTTCGCAACTTATTTCGAAAATACTTATAAATTTTTCGAAACCTTCTTAATTCGGGATGCTACTAACTTATCTACTTTAAAAATCTGTTTACTTAAACTTCATCTAACAACTACGTTAGACATAAATAAAACAGATTTTAAACATTGAACAAATATAAAAACTAAGCAGTTCATACAATCAACTTGATAAATCAACCTTTAAAATCACACTTAAAATCACACTTGTTCAAATCTTAAAGAAACGTAGCGGAAATCTTACAAGCGTAGTTTACAAACCGAAACCTTACTGAAAATTCTCAATAGAAACTTATTCACATCCACGACCACCACAGCTCCTCACACC